GCCTTGCCCTGCTCCCTGCTGGTGGAAGAGGAGGAGGGACCCAGCCTGAGGAAGGGGACGGAGCGGAGCGAGAAGCTGGCTCTGTACCTGGCCGAGGTGGAGAAGCAGGACAAATACCTGCGGCACAAGGGCCGGTTCCGCTTCCACATCATCCCGGACGGCAACTGTCTGTATCGCGCCGTCTGCAAGACCGTGTACGGGGACCAGCGGCTGCACAGCGACCTCCGAGAGCAGACCGTGCACTACATCGCCGACCATCTGCACCATTTCAGCCCCATCATCGAGGGCGATGTGGGCGAGTTTATCATCGGCGCCGCCCAGGACGGTGCCTGGGCTGGCTACCCTGAGCTCCTGGCCATGGGGCAGATGTTGAACATAAACATTCATCTCACCACGGGCGGCAGGCCAGAGAGCCCCACCGTCTCCACCATGGCCCACTACTTGGGCCCTGAGGACCCTTCCCGGCCTAGCATCTGGCTGAGCTGGCTCAGCAATGGGCATTACGACGCTGTGCTGGACTGCGAGTGTCCCAACCCGGAGTATGAGGCGTGGTGCAGGCAAACTCAGGTGCAGAGGAGGCGGGATGAGGAGCTTGCCAAATCCATGGCTATGTCGCTGTCTAAGATGTATATCGAGCAGAATACTTGCTCCTGAAACTGCCTAGCCCGTGGGATTAGTGCCCTGCTCCAGGTTCAAGAGAGACCGTTTGCACCGGCCATGGTGGTGATGCCTTAATCCTTCCTAAAGCAGCCATGCCCCGGACTGAGGAGCTTCCCTACAATATTAAACTGGGGGGGAAGGAACAAATCTGGTATTTGTAATATTCTCCTGTATAAAATTAGCCCATGATATTTGGAAATAGATTCTCCATGTATATTTGTGGTTTTTTTCCAGTTCTCAGTTTTATAGAAGAATGTATTTTTTGCACATTATTTTTTTTAAACTGTTACCTTCATCTACTACATCTTCTATTGGCATCTGGCTTTCAGCCAAAAAAGTTTGTATGAGGTTTATTTTGTAAATATAGTTTAAGGGTTTTTTTGGCTGTGGTTTGACCCATACAATTTCTACCAAATGAAATTGGTGTCAGCCAGATTGAGTGGTAGGTGGACCACTTTCCTTGATTGAAAGTTTGCTGCACTTTTATGCAAACCATGGTTTAGCTAAAGTTTATTTGCTTTCCAGCAAATAACTACTTCAAACAGTTGAATTGATTGCCTCAAGCACAGAACAAGTCTTATAAGCCAGTTGGAATGTAGTTGTTCATGAATGGTACAGGGAGCAATTATGATTCTTCCATATTTAATTACTGTTTAGAGTAAATTGGCCTCTGGTTGATTGGGTGATTCACCCATTGTTTCATTTATATTTTATTAAATTTCTGTTAAAATTGAATGTAGAATGTTGTGATAATTTATAGCTTTGTTAAGAATTGGCTGCACATCAGTCTGATTTTGAGTTACTTTTTTTCACATGCCTTTCTCTCCCTCCCCCCCCCCCCTTGGCACTTGCATTTTAAATGCCCTTTTCTCTTGGCACCAGCTGTTATCACAATATTTTACTTATTTGATGTTCTTTCTCAATCAAGAATATAATGCACTGTCCTATATTATGTAAAAAGTATTTAAACCAAGACTTGTATGGTTTGCTGGGTCAAACAATAAATGTTTCCAACCTGAGTTATCTTCTTTTAAATCTCCTGTAAATTTTAATTTTAGACTTATTTATTAAGTAATGCAGTTTGTACTTTTTTATTTTGTGAATTTTTTTGAATTACTACAGTATTTGTATAATAGGAATATTCTTAGCTAAAATGGAATGAATAAAGTGTATAATTTTATTTGGTTTCTCTTTACATTTTGGTTCTTCAGAGTTGCATAGTGTTTGTAGAGGAATGTTTGTTTACTGCAGTCACGTGGGGGGAGGGACAAAACTGACAACAAAAGTTCTGGTCTGTGATGGGACTGTAAAAATACTATTTGCAGGTTTAATAACATGGTTTCTATATGAATAGTTTAAGCTTTTCAAACTCAAGATTGTTTTCACTATGGCTAATGTTGCTATTTGGATATATCCAAAAAGGCTAGAAGAACATTTTTAACAGTGGTGTTGCAGATGTGTTTTGAATGAGACTAGAAATGAGTTATAAAATGGTTCAAGAAAGAACAGCTGCAGGATCCATAGCAAGTAATATTTGGTATGTCTACCAAACAACACCTGCAGTTGGCCCCACATCACTTGTTTATGGGGCTATAAAATTGCGGTGTAGATCTTTGGACTCTTAGACTGTCTTCTTCATAGCAACTCAGAATCTGGCCCTGTCCTGAAGTCTTATACTACAGTTACATAGCCTCAGCCCTCTGGAGCCTTAGTCTGATGAACAAAGCAAGCCACAGGTGTTTTGTTGTAGTGTAGATATGCATTGGGTGCTGTCCTCTCTGCTGTATCTAAGAACAATAGCTTTAAATAAGAGGAGGCTATACTAATTAGAATTTCATGGCTTTTGTGTCCCTTTTTATTTTATTTTTAAACAAGTGTGACACTTAAAATGGACTGATTTTCATCTTTGGTTAGCTGATGTACAAGAGTCAGATTCCATCAGTAGATGCCAGTCCACTCATGTTTGATCATAGACTTCATTGAATATTCTGCAAAGAGATAAAATTCCGAGAAGTTAGTTCAGTGCAAAAATATATGCACACGTATTGAAACGAAAAATATATTGAGCTGTAAGAATAATGATTAGGGAAAGCTACATAAGACAGCAAACTTTAAGGATCCAAACAGTACTTAATTATCGGGTATCTAAATGATTTGCTAAATTGGGGTCAATAGCATCTGTTTATCATACAAAGAATACTCAGCTATGTTAATGAGTTTGAGTGCAATATAAAGAATAACATCTGTAACAAAGCTACTGGACACATTCCATGCGTAAACAATTTATAAAATCCTTTGTTTCCTTTTTTAGGGCCTTTAAAATCTGCTTCAGCTTTGCTGTGCACTAGCAGTTGCAGGTAAGCGGGAAGTCTCTAAATGAGTAGAGGGGTAGGTAAATTATTATAGGGGAATTTTATTGTGCATTTTTATTTGTATTATTTCTATTAAAGTATAAATAGGTATAAATTAAGTGCAGTTCTGTTTCCTCTAGCGACCAGCTTGAAGGGTTCCTTAGTACTCTAGTTCTGATAGAACATAGTGCATATTGGGGTGTGTCTGTTGCTGGTACAGTAGAACCCTAGTTACAGACAGCTCAAGAATGGAGATTGTAACTCTGAAAATAACTCTGAAAATAATGTAATTCAGGCTCCAGGTCCAAGAGATGACACTCCTTGGCAGGCTTCAGAAGTGCGCGTGCACAGCATGTCTCCCAGGGAAGTGGAGGTAAGAACAGCATACCCTCTCCCAGCAGAGGTGGGGGGAAGGAGGTGTAAAAGTAGTGCCAACCTCACTCTTGCTCCTGCTCTACTGTCTGGTTGCCTTGGGTTGATAGTGCCAGTATCTTGCTGTAAGTGGCTGCCTAAAGGTGCTGCTCCTACAGCTCTCATTGGTCATGAACAGTGGACGAGCCACCTTAGGTAATTGCTGTCCAGCCAGAGCCCTTACCTCTTCTTGCACCCCAGTCTCTTGCCCCAGGTCAGAACCCTTTCCTGTACCCCACACCGATACACATTGGGGAGCCCCCATGGACACGTTGGCATTTTTAATGACTGCTTAAGTTATTAGTGAGCAAAAAGCATGTGTGACAGTATATTTTAAGACAAGAGTTTTGTCAGATGGAATAAAGCGGTTAGCAACTCCAAAATATCTTTGAGGTGGGACCCAAGTTGTGAACAGTTAAGAGAAGCCTCTTAAAGTTCAGCCTTTTTAATATTTCATAAAATGTAGTATATGCATGTAGTAGATTAGTGAAAGAGCATAAAGTCGCTTTTCTGTTTTGGTGTGTGTGGAGTAGAGATGTTAGTGTTTAGTCGTTACACAATTAACTGATAAGCCTGGGCTCATCAGTTAATCCTAATGACTGCATGCATCTCCCCTCCTTTCTGCCTCTGTATTAGAGCTACCAAGGTGGGTGGGAGAGACAGGAGTGGATGCCTGGGGGCAATCCAGTTTTTAAGCTGGCTCCCTACACATGATGGCTTCTGCGGAGTCTCCTGTTTCCTCTTCCCGTCTCTTTCCCAGCTGCTTCCCACAGAGGCAGCAGCACAGGGGAAGGCAGGCAAGAGCTGCTGCTTGGTGAGAGGCACTATCTTAAAAGCTGGTTCCTTGTGCATACTGGTTCCTGCAGTACTGCCTCCCTCTTCCCCCAACACTGCTGCCTCTGTTTCAGAGGTGGGAGCAGGCAGGAGAGAGGTGGTGCTTGCAGGGAGCCACCTTAATTAACCTGGCTCCCACCTCACCCACTGTGCATAAAAGTGTAAGCACTGAAAAATCCAGCAGTTATGCATTTATGAAAGTAAACGTTTGCCAATATCCCTGGTGCAGAGGTGGCAGGCGGGGCTGGGGTAGAGACTCAGCCTCACACTTTGGTGGAGCCTAGGAATATTTGGTGGAGCCTCGGCCAGGAATATTTCTGGTGTCCAGGCCCCATGGGTCCATATGGTTTGCTGCCTACGGGTCAGTAATGGATGGGAGGAGTGTGATGAGCACCCGGTGATTAAGGAGTTAAACTCAGATAGCTAGCAAAGATGTGCAGAAGGTGAGGTCCCACAAGAGAGCTTAAAAACCTTGCCTCTACAGGCATTGGTTACCAAAACTTCCCAGTCACAGATTCCCTGGGTCTGAGAAGTAAACAAGTTGCCACCATCAAGTCCTTTTTTTATCCCTAAAAACCAAAGTGATCAGTTGAAACCACCCCCAGGGGTAGGCCAAGCTCTTTTGCCCCAAAAGAGCTGGAAAAGAGATAAACAAGCTGCAGGCTCTACTAGCTGACCCCTAAGGCATGCAGATACATACAGACTGACAGACCTACCAGGACACAAGAATCAAATCACCTTAAAAAAAGTGATTTTTTTTTTTAACTCACAAAACAAAAGATAAACTTGAGAGAGCATACTTGGTTGCTAGATGTTGCAGAGTAACTAAGGAAAGCAAATTAAAACACAGAAAAGTTGCTGGGTACAATGTTAGATGGTAACTGGGGAGGGGAGGTGTAGAATC